TTCTCCTATAAATTGCAAAAGTAACTTCCTTCAGAGTCTAGAAATAAATCACTTCTAATAGTTAAAAAACAAAACAGAAGTCACTGCTGCTTTCTTCTCTGTAATTGTGTCTTGGTATCAATTGTGTTGAGAAATTTTGTCCTCCACTGTTCAGGTGAGTGGCTAAAATAACATTGTTTGTCTCTGAATATCATTGGTCACTACCTATCATTGAACTGCCCTCTACCTTGTAGTAGTTACAGTATGACATACATCTGAGAAGTGTTGTAAACCAATTTTATCTCAATAAAAACAATAATGTTTAAAAAACAACCAGTGAACTCTGGCAGGGATGCTGGTAAGACACAGAAGGCATTATGGAAATAATATAAAGTCAGCATAATAAAAGAGAAATGTAAATCACTAAGCACTACAATATTTGGAGGTGGTGTGTGTCTGCTGTGTACATATATGCCCAAGTACCAGAGCTATTTGTTGTTTGGTTTTGTCTTTAATTACTTCTCTTATAGTTAAATTTTGTGTGATTCTTGGCACATATTCAAACAACTAGCAACAACAAATGTTGGCGAGGATATGGAGAAAAAGGAATTCTCCTGCACTGCTGGTGGGAATGCAAACTAGTACAACCACTATGAAAAACTGTTTGGAGGTTCCTCAAACTGCTAAACATGGAGCTTCCCTACGACCCAGCAATCCCACTCCTACATATTTACCCAAAAGACACAAAAACACTGATTGAAAAAGTGTACTTGCACCCCCATGTTTATTTCTGCTTTATTTACAATTGGAAAAACATGGAAGCAGCCCAAATGCCCAAAAGTAGATGACTGGATAAAAAAGAGGTGGTACATATATACAATGGAATATTACTCAGCAACCAAAAAAGAGAAACACATGTCTTTTGCAGCAACTTGGGTGGAGCTAGAAAAGATCATGCTTAGTGAGATAAGCCAGAAAGAGAAAGAAAAATACCGGATGGTTTCATTCATAGCAGGAGTATAATGGACCAGGTGAGAAAATAACAAAAATAATGAACAACCATATACCAGAGACATTTTGCAGGGGTGGAGTGGGGAATGGGATCAAAAATGGGGGGTGGGGAGGAAAGTGCATGGGATTATGGTGATGGCACACGGGTGACTTGGTGATGGGAAACCCGCAGGGATTACAATTGAGATGGGGGGGGGGGAGAAATGCACAAAATGATGTAAAAATAAACTGTTATAAAATAATAAAAAAAGAGAAAGAGAAAAAAAAAGATGTGATACATAGACACAATGGAATATTACTCAGCAACTAAAAAAATAAACACATGCCTTTTACAGCAACATGGATGGAGCTTGAAAAGATCATACTTAGTGAAATAAACCAGAAAAAAAAAGGAAAAATAACAAGTGGTTTTACTCATAGAAGGAATATAATGGATCAGGCAAGAAAATAATAATAATATAAACAGCTATGTACCAGAGACATTTTATGGGGGTGGAGTGGAGAATGGGATCAAAAACAGTGGGGGGGAGGGAAATGCACTGGACTAAGGAGAGGCACATGGGTGGTTTGGTGATGGGAAGCCCAAGGGGATTACAAATGAGATGGAAAATGCACAAAATGATGTAAAAATAAACTACTATATTATTCATTAAAAAAAAAAAATGTTGTGGCCCTCCCTGGTGGCACAGTGGGTTAAAGCACAGCACTAAGAAGCTTAAGCCACTTCCGCATGAGTTCGATCCCCGCCTGCCACGGAGGAGATCCACATGGCGCAGCAGAGCTCTCCTGACCCGACCGCTGCTCCCCTCATCAGTATACTTCATCTATCTGCCTGTTCTGCTCCCCACTCTGTCTCTGGTGAAGCCTCTCACCCTCCGCATCTCTGGCCTGTACCCCAGTTCTATATGAATAAATAATTAAATCTTAAAAAAAAAAATTTGTGTGATTCTCAAGTAGAAATAGTATCTACCACCAAAAACATATTTAGCAATGTGTTAGGGCAGTTAATTGTCTTCATGTCTGGGGTATTCTGTTACCATTTAGTGGGCATGCGCTAGAGATGTGTGTCCACAACAAAGCATTTCTCAACCAAAAATGCCAATATTGCTTGTACAACATTAAGAATACTTACAGGAAATCACTCAGATATAAGATACAATCCAGATAAACTTAATCAACATTTGTTGAGAACTTGATGCTCCAAGTGGACAAAAGAAGTAAATGTGGACTACTACAGACAAGTTCCTAAACAAAGAATGTTTCTGTTTTACGTGCTGTTGTCTTATCTATAAACCGATGTAAAATATTATTAATATTACTGGGTAAATGTATGACTCAATTATTTATGTATGACCTATTTTTATTAATGTTTCAATGTATATTGATATAAAACATTACATATGATTTAGGGATAGAGGTTCACACTTTCTGAGGTGTATGTTGCCACACCACCATAGGATTCATAATTCTTCCCACAGTTCACTGGCTCCTTACACTGTTCCTCATACCTCCTCCTCTTCCTCTACTAGCTTCAATGCCTCAATCAGATTTCTAAGGTTTGTTTCTATGTTTTTTTTTCTTTTGTTTTGTTTCATTATATTTCACATATGAGTGAAATCAGCGAGTATTTGTCTTTCTCCTTCTGATTTATAACATATTATTTAAGGGATTTTGAATGAAGATCCAAAATAATTTCAGACTAACTATCTTCATAGTTTAACCCAAAACAGGTTTCCTACATAGTTTCCACTAAAAACATTAGCACACTGTCTTATTCATTCATTCATTGACTCACAAATACCTACAAAAGTGTCTACCATGCTAGGCAGTATCCTAGTGGTTGCAAAGGCAGTAGAATATTTTCTGTCCCTAAAGTAACTTTCACTGTAGATTATTTGTTTACTTACTGTACATATAAACAAATACATGCATGCTATAATTTTAGTCACAGGCACTATGAAGAAAAAAATAAAGCAGAAAATTGGATAGGGAAAGATGGGAGAGACATATTTTGTACAGTGCTCAGGAAATGAGGTAATATTTGAGCAGAGTCCTGAGTGATGTTGAGGAAAAGTCTATGTGAAAAGTACTACCGTGAAAACATCAAGGTTTTATCAATAGTACAACAACTGGCATACCTAAGAACAACAAAAAGGTGAATGTGACTGCAATGGAGTAAGCATAAATGACAGGTGCCCTGAGAGAAGCCAGAATGTGTAGGGTTTTGTACTTTTGATAAAAAGCTTGGACTTCTGCTTAATATAACTAGAAATTTTTAAATAAAGGAATAAATTATCTGATTTTTTTTCACTAGTTACAGTAGAAAAAAACTGAAAGCAAGGATATCATGCTATTTGGAAGGCAGGACTATGATATGGCACACAAAAACAAAAATAAATTAAATTGCCTGACTGGGGAGGTTTCTGGTTAGAAAAAGTTAACCGATTTTATTTTAAAACTACTCAGACCCAAATATTCCTGCACAAACTTCTGCAGGTCATCTCAAATAGGCCAGGTTATTAGTTATCTCATATCATAATAATTTATTAAAAGCATTTTACTACCATAGATTCCTCAAACTTAAAATATACCTGCAAATGTGCAATAAAATTAGCAGTGATCTTTACTGATTTTCACTACCTGAAACAAACATCAAGGAAAAAATAAAATCCCCAAAATGTTCAAACTAGCATACATGATACTATTTTGAAAGCTAGTGAAAAAGTAGTTCCCATTCAAAAAGAACTGATTAGAAAAAAAGGTACAAAACTAAAAGTAATTCAATACAAATGAGACAAACTTGCTAAAATAATCAAGTTTAGAGAAGCAATGCTGACATTATACAGTTATCCTTGGACTTCTAATTTGCAAGACTGCTTGTTTTGGTTTACTTGGCATTTCTTTGTCTCTCCTGAAATCTTGTTGATCCATTTATTTGTGCAATTGATGCTTATAATTAGCAGATATGCTGTGCATTTGTTGGGTGTACGCTAGGAGCAAGGAATATAAAGCTTTGCTGTCAGTCTACAATGGAATGTGTAAGAAAAAAGATAATCAACAATTCAAGCGCTCACAGTACTTATGGGCACTGAACCTACTGTACTTGCTATACCTGAGATTGTATCTGAAAAACTGAACTGGGGACTTTCAGACAGGGCAGGTGACTTCATCACTAAGCGACACCATTTACTGGCAATCCCTGCTTATCAAATAAATTTCTAGTCAGTAATTTTGGAAGCTTAGAAAAAGGTAATTACAGAAAGACTCAGTAAGGACTTCACAGACAATACACTTCCAAGAGTCTTTCAGAAGAGATAACATACGTAAGGAATTTATTCTTGTCTCACTACTTAAAATTGTAACTACATCTTTTCATATTATTTCGGGATCCTTAGGGAGGGTATTATAAACATGATTGAGAAGTTACTAAAATGTACTGGGTACTACACTCTTGAACAGAGAAACTCCAGAACCTGAATCGAAGGAGATCTTCTGATACACTTTAATTTATTTTTCCTAAACTTTGTCCGGTTTACCCTACAAATTGTTTTCACGTTTTCCAAACGTCTTATTAAACGTGTTTCCCAACACACTGGTTAAAAAGAATTAACAAATGTCACAGGCACAGCTGGAAGATGGTGACAGGGACATGTAAAAAAATACTGGAAACCTTTGCTTCGAAAGCTTCCGAAAACACACCGCGGTAATCTCGTCAGGACATAACGCTTGTGTGTCTTGAAACCCTGACCAGAGTAAAAATATTTGCTCTATTTACTTTTAAATTGAGTTTTGTACAAATACACTAACTTAATTTACCAGTAAAGCGCTGGGCGCTGTGGTAAAACCCCTTGAGTTCTCCTCTCGGTCTCCGGAAAAGGTTCCTCAGCCAGTTACGCAGGATCACGTCAGGGCAGCCTGAGAATCCTCGGAGGCAGGAATTGTGGGAAATGTAGTTCGGAGACTCCGCCCTCCTCGCCATTCCTGTAATGGCTGCTTCCTGGAAGGTAATGTACCAACTCGTCTGCAAAGAATAAGATTACAACAGTGTATATGTAAGACAGGAGGTAAATTTGCATCTTGACGGGTCAAAATAGGGATTCTTTTGCAAATCTTGGTATTAAGACCCGCAATGAATTTGTCTTTCAATTCTGTTTATTTGTAGCTTTTCCTGAGTGGGCAAATTGACCAACTTTAAGACTAGTTCCCTTCCTTGGACAAACTGTTTCCTCTTCTTATACTCCTTTTTCTGCCTTAATGTAGCTTCCCATTTCTGCACGAACTGTAGCTGCTCGTTAGAAAAATAATAATAGTAATGTCTAGTTTTTGTATCCTCTCCCCCCTCTGATAATAGGCTCTGTCACGTGGAAGCTCTTAGTTTCAGTATCCGGAACCCAGTGAAGGAGTATTTCAAGTCTGAATTTTTCTTACGCGTTTGTCTGGTAAGTCCACAAGTTCACAGATGTAAATGTTGGTTACTTTTGCCTTATGTGTCTGGATTTCCTGAGTGGAAGAAAAAGAAAGGTAATTTTTACTAACTAGAACATTGAAGTCATCGAGTATTTTGTGCATTTGCTATGCGTTCATAATTATATTGTTATGTTCATGTTTGGTTCATTCCCATTGTGTTGGCATTATAAAGTTGGGGGTGAGGGTGGGAAAAGAGCTGGAGCCTAAGAATTAGCTGAAAAAGTTTGGGTGAACAGTTATTTCTCATATTTTCATCTTATCATTTGAAAAGGTAGGAATTTTTAATGGTTCCTTTATGTTTCTTGTTTAATTTCTAGAACCCTCCAGCCCTCAAGATCTAGGCACCTCAAGATCCCAACATCATGACCTCAGTTTCAACACAGTTGTTCTTAGTTCTCATTTCACTGCTTTTGGTGCTGCCTGCTGTTGAAGCAGTCGAAGCTGGAGATGCAATCGCTCTCTTGTTGGGTGTGGTTCTGAGCATTACAGGCATTTGTGCTTGTTTGGGTGTATACGCACGGAAAAGAAATGGACAAATGTGACTTTGAAGGGCCCTCTGAATCAAAACTTATCCTGAAGACCTTCATGCAGTTAAGGTTGAAAGTGTGTCTAAACATTCCCATATAAATGGGAACAAATTGATATGTGTTCAATGGGGGAAAACGGTTTCTTCACAACAAATAATGCACTGAAAAATGCTGCCTATAACTTGTTTCTGCTACTTTAAAAAGGGTCAAAGATATAAGAGTACTGAAATCTGCATAAGTAATATTTCATAGTTTCATAATTCTCAAGGCACATGAAATAGAAAAGAAATTTTTGCCCAGAATCCTAGGAAATTGCCAGTGTTTTCTTACAATCACTGCCTCCTGAATTGTTGAGGAATCTTCTCCATATTTTTAGTGGATTATTGTTTAGCTGTCTTCCATATTAATACTGTACTTAGATAATCAAACACAGTCAAAAGCTAGAACATTTCATCAGAGAAATAACTTAGTCTTACCTAACATTAAAATGAAGAAAAAACTTATGTAAAAAAAATTCTTTATATTGACATTGAAATGGAGTAGATTCAATGTTTGGGGAGAGGGGAACCCTTTGTATTAATTGAATAACATCCCCATAGTGAAAAGTACTATATTAAATATAAACCCATCATGTTGTAAGTTGATGTGTGGTGTCCATTTCTGTCTATTTCAGGCTGCTTTTGTCTTTGTGTGGACTTTTATATAAGCTAAGTGGAAAAGGGCATGCCTTAACTGATTACATTGGCTTGTAGAAGCAGTCAGTAAAAATGAAAAATGGGCAACATTTAAGTGAAGTCCCTAGAAAAAAAATCCAGTTACAAAAGGGAAATGGTATGGCCTGTACACCAGCCAGTTGAGATATACTCCTAGTCTTGCTACTTAGTATTCTCAATCCAGCAGTATCACATGGGTTGGCTTACTAGACATGCAGAATCTCAGAATCCACCTAGGCATATCAGATGAGAATTTACTTTTGTTTCAAGAGCCCAGGATAATTTGTGTGCACATGAAAGCTTAAGAAAACAACTTATTAGAAACAGAATCATGCCAAGTACATGATGAAATTCAGATTCCCTCCTCTGGTTGTAAGTAATTATAGTTTGAGCCTATGTTTAACAAACATCCAGTGATTCTTCAGATTCTATAGAAGCAGACAGCATAAAATAGTTTGGGTAAATCAAGACTTTGGATCTTACTGTAGCAAGTCAAGTTTTTCTAAAACAATCTGTAGCTTTCAAGGTGATATTGGGAGTCTTAATTTTAATCAGAAAACAGGTATGCATTTCTCTAGGTGTGCATGGACCTGGCATGTATGAGGGATTTAATAGAGGGTATAAGGAATAAGGGACAGCCATGTTAAACATTATTGAAAATGGATCTGTTTTTGTCATAGCTATTTTGTTCTTTGCTCAGGAGAAAGCACTCACATTTTTTGGTCATGTAAATGGGAAATGATAAACTGTGTTAATAAAACTTATTTCCTACACTTTTTTTTCTTTTAGATTAAAAAGGGATGCAGAATGTAGGAGAGTTGTCCTGTCTCTTATAAACCAGCCTACTGATAGTGATGTGGGGAGGCTGCTGCTGTTGCTTTGTATGTGTGAACTTTCCACTGACATTGGGAGAAATCAAGCTAACATACATTTTAAATCACAGTGCATTAGTCATTTAGTCACCTCCAGGTACTATTTTTAAAATGTTCAAAATAAGACTATAGGCAAACATTCTTTAATGAATGTGTATTTCCAGAAGTGCCTAGAAGAAGTTAAAAAACTGCCACTTTCATAATTTCCCTTTACAGGTAGAGAATTATCTTAGGGTAGCATTCAGCAATTTTGATGGGTATGAGGAAATTCTAAAAATAATCTCATTTTTTGCCAGCCATCTTAGTTGGATTGTACGGTTTTATCTGAGAAAAACTTTTACAGTAACTCTTGTAGGGGACCACGAGCTTTGAGAAGCTGATGAAAGAATCTGATCCATTTCCTAGGAAAAATGCACCTCCATACTACTTTTTAAGATTAATTTCAAGGAATTCACACAACTGAAGCTCATGTAGGAGTTCCAAATAACAAGTGTTTATTGTATTTCCTCATTTTTTGTTTATTGAGGGTCTTTCCAATTTTGGAATTCTTTGATTTGCTTTTAATGATAATACCCAATTTAGAATAGGAATAATATGACTGACAACTGTCCCTCATGCAAGATACCCAGCACAATTTGCAGCTGTTAGCTTGTTAGCTTGTTTTCAGTCCAGTTAAAAAGGCAGAAGACAAATAGTTGAAATTAACAAAAATGACATATTTATGGTTCTTGCCACTACTTAAATTTTTATTTTCTTTAATTTTATGGTAACTAATCTGCCAAAAGTCTGTACATTTCCTGCATCATTTCTCTTTGGCTGCTTTCAAGATTTTTTTTTCCTTGTCTTAGTTTGCAGAAATTTGAGTGCAGTGTGTCTTGATATGAGTGTCTTTGGGCTTACTGTGCTTGTGGTTTTCTCAGCTTCTTGAACTGAGCTAAAATGTACAGGTTTATGTCTTTATAATGTAGGAAATTCTCAGCCATTATTTTTCCAAGTATTCTTTAAGTCCTATCTTTTATCTCCTTTCCTTCTGGTATGCCGGTAACTCAAATGTCAGATCTTTTATTATAGTCTTATTTGTTCCTGGCTCTATATATTTTTTTCAGTCTTTTTGCTGTTGTTCAGATTGTATAACTTCTATTTTTTTTTTTTTAAGATTTATTTATTTGTGCATACAGAACTGGGTTAGAGGCCAGAGGTGCAGAGGCGTTGAGAGGATTCACCAGAGACAGAGTGGGGAGCAAAAAAAGCAGACTCACAAAGTACCCACTGAGGGGAGCAGCAGGTGGTTCAGGAGAGGTCTGCCCCACCATGTGGATCACCTCCAGGGCAGACGGGGATCAACTCATGCTAAAGTGGCTTTAGCTTCTTAGTGCTGTGCTATAACCCACTGCACCACCAGGGAGGGCCCATCTTCTTTCTAGTATTGTAACTTCACTAACTTCCAATTTCACTGATTCAGTTGTATATTTTAATTCTAAATTTTCCACTTGGTTTTTCTTTGTAGCTTCGATTTCTTTGCTGAGGTTTTCTATTTCATTACTGAGACTATTTTTTCATTTGTTTCAAGCATATAATTGTTCATCAAAGCAATTTTATGATGACTGCTTCAAAATCCTTGTCAAATAATTCCAACATCTGTGGCCTTTTAGTATCAGCATCTGTTAATTGCCTATTGTCATTCAAGTTAAAATCTTCCTCGCTCTGGGTATGAAGAGTGTTTTGTTTTTTTTTCCCATTGGTGCCTAAACATTATAGTAAAATGAATTGAAACTTATTTAAAATCTTGTATCTTAGCAGGCCTCTCACACCTCTCCATTAGGTGAAAACAGGATTCCTCATTAGTGGTATCAGATAGAAGTTGAAATTCAGGAGTACCTTATTACTGTTCCCCATGCCCACCCATGATGCTGAATGTAGAGGTACCCTACTGCTTTTGGTGGATGAGAGTGAAGTTCACATGCACTACTTGGTCTCCATTGTCCCAAGGCGATAGCTGAGTCTTTGTCTTTTCTTGATTGCTGACTTCTCCAGTACTGAATTGGGGATATATTTAAGGGCGGGTAGGGGAATTCCAACATGATCCTATGTTAGTCTGATGTTGAGGTCTCCCTTTTTTTTTTTTTTTTTTTTAACTTTCACAATCTTCTTGTGTTGTTTTGTAACCATGTCCAGAACTTTTAGCTATATTTAGTGGGAAAAAGATATCTACACCATTTTCCTGAAAGCAGAAGTAGCTTCCGTGCATATTTAAAGAGTGACTTTTCTGGAAAGATCAAATAAATCACCAGTTAATCCAAGTTATTTCACTTACAAACCTTTGTGCTGTGAACTTCTATATCTTCTTGTCCTACTTCACCTACTCGATGTACTATTTACTCCTCTGTTTACCCAAAAATTCAACTACAAAGTATGGCTAACAAACATGTAAGAACAGATGAAGTTTGAAAAAATGAACTATATTTATATTTTGTCTCAGTATTCTGAGTGCAAGTGACCACATCTCCCAAAGCCATTATGATAGCAAATGTACCAACTGTGTAAGGTCAACTAGACCTATAAGTTGAGAGGCTACATCTCATGTACATTTCACCTCAGGCCTTCTAACCTCTGCAGAAGTTTTTCAAAATCTATTTCAATCTCGGAGGTAAAAATAACCAGGCCCCACAAATTGAAATGTGATCTTGGGCAAGCAATTAACTTCTTTTAAATGTCTATCTCACTATCCATTAAATAGGGATAATAATAGGACCTACCTCATAGATAGATGAGGGAAACATGAAATAATTAATTAAAAACCTTAACATGCTGCAGTTAATACTATTATGGTCTTTAGATACCAAAAGTTTCATTATATTTTAATATGACCCTTTCTTCAAGTCTTTGTTTTCTTTATCTCAGTTTTCTGCCCACTATGAATAAACATACATGAATATTGTGAAGAGTTTTGTGAAGGAAATTTGATTATCCTAATATTTTTTTCAAGTCTTCTTGTTTATATTTGAGTCTCCTGAAGGAAACAAAGAATAAGGAAAATAAAAACAACAAATGATTCTGTTAATACTGATCTGATATCACTGCAAATGACACTAGTTACTAGTTGAATTCCTCATATATTCAACCTGGGTCTTTTCTAAATTACATGACCAAAAATTAGAAACAATGACTCAAGTAATTTAAAGAGATGCAAGAAATCTGGTTCTGCCTCTTCAGGGAAAGAGTATGTCTGGTTCATTAGAAGTCCTAAAGCAACTTACAAAACTAGTTCAATGTTTGTTTCCAATGGTGGTGTACAGAGAGGAAGCCCCTATATTGATTTACTATGACAGGATTTTTACTCATAAAAATGGGGTCAAATCAATAAATATATAGAGAGAGGAGCATATTTTAAATTTTTAATAACCTTTTTCTAAATCTTTTCTGTGATTGAATAATACATATCTAACATAAAAATGCAAAGGGCAGAAGACCAGAAAAATATTTGCCACAAAAAAGTAAACTGATTTCATTTCTTATTAATTTGTGTTATCAGAGTTGTAATAATACCCTTCTCACATATTTTTACCGAATCCATTACATGGGGGTGATTAAAATGTTGAAAATACTAGTGTACTTTATAGTCTAAATGAAATTAGGAATTTTATATACAAGAGGATTAATTATTTTAAAAGGCTAATCATGTAGCAATTTGTTAAACATTGGAATTTTTAAATACCACACTTCTCAATATTAATCAAAATAATTATGCTCTGGAAAATGTGCATAATTCACTAAAAGAATTCAAGAGCAGGCATGAGCACCAAGACCAGAATCTATACCATATTCTATTTTTGATGATTTGTCAGAATACTTTCATTTTGCCACAAAAAATACCAGAGCATTTTGATACCAACAATTTTATGGGTATTGTGATGACATATGCTCACTTTCACTTGTTTAATTGCCACTTTTATTGTACAGCATTAAAATGTACTAATCATCAATTTAGAAAATAAATTAATTGTACTATTCACCAACTTAAAATTAAAAATAATCAACTACCAGGCAACTGACCTTGAGCCAACAATTTAACCTCTATAATTTTTTCATCTGTAAAATTATTTGTCAGTAATTTCTAAAAGTCTTTGAAGTGATAAAATTTTATGGCTTCATTAAGAGTTTTCCTAATTTCAAAAATAATAAGCTCTAATGTGTAGAATATATTATAATTACCCATTTTCAGTCAGCAGCATGAGAATCTGATTTCCTCCTCGAACTCCTTAGTGAAAACTGTAGTCTAGTGATTTGGTACATTTTGGGATTTTAATTCAGTGAAGTGGGGGCAGCTCATTTTCTGTATTGAACAAGTATGATTAGGGATTGTCTCAAGAAGAAAGAATAAAAACAAACCATAACCCCGTCACTCCCACACACAGCAAAAAAAACCCAACCACTAATTAATGCTGGCCTAGCAATATCCAGGAACAAGCAAACCTTGCAGTGTTCAGATGCGCAGTCTTTTCTGGCACTACAAGTGAGACTTCATTAATAGACACCATCTTTCCAGAGGCCAAGACAGTCACTTATAAGGATGCATTGCACC